GCAGGTGCTGGATGACCGAGACGATGCCATAGGGTCGACGAAGCAGCCAAGAGGGCGACAGGGGTGGAGACGGGCATGGTGTAGAGGTCCCCGTCGCTGTTACAGCGGAGAGTCACGCGTCCCGTTCGGAGATCCTTGATAGAAAAACCATGAGCGTCAAATTCAAATGAACAGCTATTGTCGCGAGTGAATTGACGAACAGAGAGCAGGTTACAAACTATAGATGGTGCGACAAGGATATTTTTAAGAATAAAATTAGATGTGGGAGTGGGTAGGACGGAGAGTGACCTCTAGACGGATCTGGAATGGTAGTGCCATTACCATCGTTATTGAGGAGATGGAAGGGGTAGGTCTTTGGGTAATCATACCATCCGAGGGGCGTCATGTGTTGAGGCGCCGGAATCGACGACCAGGTGAGTTGCCCCTGCATGTTCATGGCCCAGAGGGTAGGGTGGCGATGAGGCCGGGCCGTGCATCCTGTGGAGCTGCTGGAGTTGCCGGAGGTTGCCGCTTGAGGAGCGAAGGTCGTGTGTGCTCGGGGAGCAGCCCCAGGAGGCCGTCTTGGCGCCCAGTGGCGTTGGCTACCCAGACCGCTTGAAGCCACTATGGCGGCGTTGTCCAGGAGGGATGACCCGCTCACCAAGAGCCACGCGTTCGCCGGTCCAGGGGTTAAAGCCCCAGGGTAGGCGCCGGTTGGGGTTGTGGCCGCCAGAGGTGGAGGGCTGCTGGCCGCCCTTCTTGCTGTTGGGGCGCCGGTTGTCCTGCTGCTGCTGCTGCTGGCCACCAGCAGGGAAGGAGGCAGCAGTGAAGAGCGCCGAGGCAGCACGTACCTTCTCGTCATTCTGCAGCCGCAGTTCCTTGAGGAGAAGCTGATGGCGAGCGGAGGAGAAGGTGAGGGGCTGTTGCCCGGCGATGTTGTCGGCGACCGTAGAGTAGACCTCGTTGAGGCCGCGCAGAAGGTTGAGGACGAGGGTGCTCTCGAGGACGGTCTGGCCAACGTCACGCAGTTCGTCGGCCTTCGCCTTCATGCGGACGCAGTAGTCGTCGATGGAGGAATCCCCTTGAATCATTGAGTGGAACTCGTGATTGAGGAAGATGGCACGAGGCGCTTTGTTCGCCTGGAACACGTCGTCGATGGCCTGCCACAGCGCGCATGCCGTCTGCTGAGTGTTGGTCATGGCGAGGTTGAGGACTGAGTCGGAGGCGGTGCTGTACATCCATCCGCGGACGCAGAAGTCAGCCTGCTGCCATGCTTCGTCGGTGGGGCGCGCAGGGGAGGCGGTGTCAAGGTGTTGCAGCAGGCCAAACTTCCCGCACATGGCGCGGAAAGCCATCGACCACTTGGTGAAGTTGGAGGGCTTCAACTCGAGGACCATGGGGACATGCAGCTTGACATTGATAGTGGCGAAGGGGCAGAAGTAGCCCCTAGGGTGCCGCTGGTGGCAGAGGTTAAGTCTGAGGCAGTTCCCATGGGAAGAGAAGGAGGAGAGGCGGCGTGGGAGGTGGGAAATCAGATCAAGGCCCGGTTCTCTGATACCATGTAGAAGAATAGAGTTTGGGGGCAATTGGCCACACCTCAATGTGAGGGGGCGCCTTCTATTATATGGCCGGCTGGCCTTGCTTTACAAGGCAGGGGGTAATCTCCCTGATTTACATTTGCTAACTATAGCAACTGATCCCTGATTTACATCTGCTAATTACCTGATTTACAGCTGCTAATTATGGCTATGATATCCATAATTAGCAGGGGATATTCTATTTCCTAACAATTACTTCGAGGATTGAAGTACATACATACAGGTAACTAGTTATTCTCATTTGAAAAATCTTCCCTTTACATATTCTAACCTTTTTCTTCAAGGAGTGCTGTTTCTAGAAGTGAATGGTCCTCTGTCATCAATAGTCATTATGTTTTAGATGCATGTAATTTTCATCAGTATTCTTTTCATTTTCCACATGTTAACCATAATTGTTGTTTTAGGAAAAACCTTTTGCCCCTAATTAAGTATGCTAGCTGTTCCAGGTGGAACGTGCCTATATACCCATGTTTCTTAGTGGAATAATGGAATAGAAAGTTGTAGGATGCTAGGATATTTATAATTAGGTGAGATACTAACTACCTGGCCAGGAAAACTACACTCTGTTTTCTTTTACTTCTCCTTTTATCACTTGATTGGTATATTATGCTCACACTGCAATTCATATTTTTTAACTATTAGCTGCTAAAAATTAGCTGGGGTGGATCCAAATAGGCTTAGTTAATAGGCCAGCTAAAAATCACCCAGCGAACAACTATCTCACTGGCTTTCCCAACCCAGTTAATAGATAGTGAAAAAACACTTTTCTATCCATGTGCTCTACCAATAGCCTCTAAAAGGTGAATGGCATGATTGACAAAACCATAAATGCACCCACCTTTTAGCTCCTAGATCCAAACAACACCTAACTAATAGGTAGCTAACTATGAGCTGCTAGTGGATCCAAATGGGACCATAGCCAACAATTGCTGCATATGGTCATGGGGGGCGACATAGATGATAGATCTCATGCAGACGATTGAGACAAGGACAAGTAGAATCCTCCTAGTACGCCGCACGGTGGCTAATATCATTTCGTCGTCAAAAGGAGGCTATGTCAGCTTTTTTTTATTTTTATTCTAATAATGTCTAGCCATCTTAGTATCTGGAAGTGAAACAAGATTTTTCATTCTGGTGCAAATCAAGCTTCTCCGTTGCCTGCAGGAATTTTTTTTTTTTATTACTCGTCATCTCAATCAGGTTCTCATATGGTGTCACAAGTATAGCAGGTGCCCATGCAGGGAGCAGCCAACCCTAGCCAGCCAAATTTAGGTGCTAAACATATCTCTTTTTGTAATTTGTTTGGGTAAGATCGATTACTTAACAAACAGTTAATTTCCATTTTTAGGCCCTATCTCCTATATGGGATCAGGCTGTCGGAATCATGAAGTTATCTCGGTTTCTTTCCTCTTTCTTTTCCTTATGTTTCTGTTACTCCTGTGCATCTCCACCCACATTGCATTCTTTCACTCTATACATGGCCCTGCCGATACCTTGTGTAACTGTTCCTCTTCCCCCCCAGTTACCTATAGCTACATACGTTGCCCATGGAACATGGTTCTACTTCTAGAATTTGATTCAAGAATAGCTTTCCTAGGTATGCTTGTCACATTTTAATTTGTGTCCTGCTTGGTATACTATTCTTCTTAAGACCCTATAATTTGTTGCAGAGGTGCAGTCATTTTTAATTTCCCATGAGAAGCATGCTTGAAACAAGAGCGATACACACAACATGGCTTTACAACTCTTTACATCCAAGAGATTATAGAGTTCAGATAACATGGGTGGTGACTAACTTTGGAGGGTTTAAAAAAACAACCTGCCTGGGAAAGACCACCCCCACGGCATTGCACTTAAGAAGAAGCTTCTCTCAGGCCAAGAAACACCCTGAAGGCCAATTGCCCTGGATGTGCGACCAAGTGCCAGGACTGGTTACACGTATAACTTAGGACCGCAACCGACGAGGAGTGTTTTTTTTAACAGAGGCTTGTTTAAATTCGCTCCCACGGGGAGTTGAGCCTAGTACTTGGGGCCCTATTTGAGCCATGCTAACCAGTCACATGGTTGTGATTTGTCATACGCTGTATATGAAGTATTTCCCTTGTGGTACAAAGGAGGATTTTCCTAATTTTTTTGTATGATTATAAATAGCTGACTCTTGCAATAATAATAGCTAATTGTTGTCTTCTTGTGTCAAATGGAAGTCTCGCAGAAGCTATATTTTCTCTAGTTGCACTAGTCAATTTGTACAAACAAACAATAATATTTTCATCAATAAGTAAATGTGGCAAAAATTTAGGAACTAGAAAGCAGAACGAGCAAAACTTTTTTGTAAATACACCATTTTATCTTGTTCTGGTCATTAACGTCAATATCAATTAATCCAATGCATTCTTTTCATTGTTTTTTTTTGCACAGCAAATGTGTTTCACCGAGACCTAAAACCAAAAAATATTTTGGCCAATGCTGATTGCAAGCTTAAAATATGTGATTTTGGACTTGCAAGAGTAGCTTTCAATGATACTCCTACTGCCATCTTCTGGACGGTACACAAAACTCAACTGTCATGTATAAAAACACATTAATGTTATACATGCCCATCATTTTAACATTTATTGTTTAATATACTTTTAGGATTATGTTGCAACAAGATGGTACCGAACTCCTGAGCTGTGTGGATCTTTTTTCTCTAAGGTTAGTGATCTGATGATTGATATGAATCCTCACGCTTGAATGTCAGTGATTTTTTCCTGTTATGTTAATCTGGTAAACATGTCTAGGATCCAGGAGTTCTAAATTTCATAATGTTTCTAGTTCTACCTGATGTGATTGCTTGTATACATGGACTAGGCTGTAAGCCTGTAAAATGTAATCTTGTGTGTATCGCGACATTTGTAATCACTTTTACTTTTGTAATGTACATGATGTTATTTGTTCAACCTGCTTCACCTTGAATTTTCTCACATACTTCTGTATCAAATATTATTATACTACTATTGTTACTATTACTAATACTCTTTGCTTTTTACCCTGTTATTTGTTTTGGTAGCTTGTGTTGGAATAAAAGGTTCTTCTGTGTTTTTGTTTCTCTGTGCATAAAATTGGATGCTGCATAGTTCCAGCATTCTAGACATGCTTCTGTGCTGTAGATTCTCTGGAGCATTGTTGAACATTATTATGTTTTGTATTGTTGCAGTATACTCCAGCAATAGATGTATGGAGCATTGGCTGTATATTTGCAGAGCTTTTAACTGGAAAACCTCTCTTCCCTGGGAAAAATGTGGTACATCAACTTGATATAATTACAGATCTCCTGGGAACACCATCTCCTGAAGCAATCTCTAGGGTGGGTATTTTTACATAAAAAGGAGTCGCTTGTCATCTTCAATTACTTTCTAATGATGTCTGCTACATGTACTCTTCATGGAACAGATTCGAAATGAGAAGGCCAAGCGCTACCTGAGCAGTATGAGGCGGAAAAGGCCTATACCGCTTACTCAGAAATTTCCAAATGCAGATCCACTTGCATTATGTTTATTGGAGAAGATGCTAGCTTTTGATCCGAAAGATAGGCCAAGTGCAGAGGAGGTTTTTTTTTTGAATAATCGGCTTGTTTTCCTATCAAATAGCAGCATCTGTCCTCTGAATGTTAACAACATCTAATTGACCTTATACATTCAGGCCCTTGCTGATCCATATTTCAAGAACATAGCCAATGTGGATAGAGAACCATCAGCACAGCCTGTGAGAAAGCTGGAATTTGAGTTTGAGAGGCAGAGGATTACCAAAGAAGATATAAGGGAACTCATTTACAGTGAAATTCTGGAGTATCATCCAAATATGTTGAGAGAGTTCCTTGAGGGGACCGAGTCAACTGGTTTCATGTACCCAAGGTGTGTTGTCATGCCAAGTTTTTTTCTCTCATTGCATCAAAATATGACTGAAGTCCTGTCAGTGGTGTGTGTGTGTGTGTGTTGTAACTCCTATTAATGCAATGATGCACAGCTTCCCTGCATGTTCGTTCAAAAATATAAATTTAGACTGTCTAGTTCTTTGTTAAACACTCTTATACGTTTTTATCTTGATATTACTGCTATTTTTTTAAAAAAAAATGAATACTAGTATGGCACAGTTAGGCGCATACTACCTCCATCCCCAAAAAAATTCTGATGTTTAAGTTTTGTCTAAAGTCAAACTATCTTAAGTTTGACCAAGTTTATAGAGAAGGTCCACATAAGAAATGTACTATGCAAATATTATCCATGATGAATCTAATGGTACTTATTTGGTAATATAAATATTGTTTATTTGTATAAATTTGGTCAAAAATAAGATAGTTAATAGTTTGACTTAGGACAAAGGTAGAGTGTCAAGTTTTTTTTGTTTTTTGTTTTTTTTGTGGTGGTGGGTGGACGTAATAATTGGTACTTAACTGTTTTGCAGATGTAATGAATAATTGGGGAAAAGTAATTGCAGGAAACTACAGATTACAAATGAACATTTTGGTGTACCATGCATATAATTTCAAACTCAATTTATTTGGAGAGTAACAAACAAAGATCAGAGTAGACATATATATTTTGTTCTGTTGAAGTGGGAGGGGCGATGGTTGATTGAACTGGACTCTGCTGCATCATTCGACTAAACTAAATTGCATTACTCTGCTTGCAGTGCTGTGGATCATTTTAAGAAGCAATTTGCATATCTTGAAGAACACTACGCAAAGGGATCAACAGCAGCTCCACCTGAGAGGCAACACAACTCTCTTCCAAGGTAATATTTCCATTCCCTCTTGTGACTTACTTTAACTAAAAACCTAACATTTGACTGAGTGCATCTTTTTCTATACTTGACACTTGTGCATAAACAGGCCTTGTGTGTTATATTCGGATAATCGAACTAAAAGCACAGCCAATGTCATGGAGGATCTTTCCAAGTGTGTAATCAGAGATGAACGCAGAGGGGACAGCTAGATTCTTCCTCTATTGGTGCAAATAGAGTTCCTCAAGGTGAGCACATGTAGCCTCCAAAAAGCTGTTGGCACATCATTGTTGCTAACAACATAAAGTAATATCTTTTTGCTATACATCAATAATCTTGAGTGGCAGGTTTGCAACCAATTCCTATTTAGCAGCATGTGTTCCATTCATCACTTAAGTCATGATTGTTTAATTTGTTCATGGTCTACTCCCTGGTGTCATGCAAATCGGCCGCTTTGGTGTCTAAATTATACTTCCTCATTGTGATGTTATGGACATGGTCATTCCGCATGATGCATCTTGGACTGCTATTTTCTATATATACTTATGATTGTGCATCTTGTTCATGTTGGAAGTGGAATGGAAGCATAAATTTTATCTTGAAGAAAGTATGGAATAGTTGAGTAAATTGTTCATGTTGATTAATACAAGCAATCAACTCAAGCTCAAGCTCCACAGTCCAACAAAAAACATTTTTTTTTCCGAAAAGGAATTGTTTTTTTCTCACGCAGGAGAGCTGTGTATCATTATATTAAGAAGAAAAAGGGTTTAGAACAGAAACAACACCACACCACCCTCACTTAACAAAACACCATGATTGTGCCTTCAAACACAACTCAACCTGACCATGACCCACAACCAGCAGCCTCTAGGACTGGCCATAAGTTGGTGCAAGGGCAACAAGGTAAGAAACGCCGTGCCCGGCCACACTCCAAAGATGAAGCTCTTCCCTTGCTGAAGTCATCACTGTAGTTAAACTAGGGAGGACACCATAAAAAGCGCAACGGTTACGGACTTACGGTGAATCCAGATTGACCAAGCACCTAGGATGACAATCAAATTTAGCCCCTTCTTGACCTGTTCAGAAACTCTCCACAGCATTTGCCCACCACTCAAAGGATGTTTCGTTAGGTTGTGGACAAAGAGACTGCAGACCGACCAGACGTAGCAAACTGAACCATATTTGTGCAAAAACACAAGCCAACATCAAGTGATCAATTTCCTCTTCCTGGTTACACAGGATGCAACACTCATGATGTTGAAGACCTTTTCGAGCAAGACAACCAGCAGACCAGCATCTGTTGTGGCAACTAACCACATGAAAAACTTACACTTGCCCGATGCCCAAAAAGGAATTGTGACTTAAATTCATCAATTTATCACCTCAAATATAGCTACCCAAAAGAAAAAGTCCTCACAAAATTAGGCTGACAACAATGCAGCACAAGAAGCTCATTATAAAGAAACTAAATGTGCCTGACCCAATTCAAATTAGTCACACCTTGCTAGGTGAGAGTGAGTCAACACAATCACCAGAAATTTGGGTGGTCCGGGTTGCCACTCGGGGCTGAGGGAACCGAGTTCCAGGTTTCTGAAAACACTGGTCAAGTGGTTAGTTTGGGTCAAGTGATTTTTTTATTTTAACACTTTTGTAAACTAATTTTAAATCTAACTTTTTCCCCCATCTAACACTTTTGGCCGCACCTATTGCCCATGGCTGGCGAACGCTTGCCGTGCCATGCATGGTGACGCCGGGAGGATGACGTGTGTAAGACCGGGCGCCGACCGGTGGCGTGGTCTCTGCGCGCGCCACCGATCTTGGCAGCGGCAAAGGACGCGCCATGGAGAATAATGGCGAGGCAAAGCTAGGCATGGCCGAGAGATAGGCTCTGCCGCTGCCTCGGCATGGCATCTAGGCCAGCTGCGGACATCGAGCCGCGTCTTGGGTGCAGGGGTTCAGAATGACAATCGACACTGTGGTGGTCGAGGCGTCAGCCTGCTGGCCTGCTGCTGCTTTGAAGCGGTAGTTTATTCTTTGGGGCTGGGGCAACAAGTAGTAGGTGCAGGAGTAACATGGATTTGTCTGAATTTTGATAATGCTGCTGGAATGGACAGATAAATGTTTGCCTACTCTACTGTTCTGTTCATTTGATAGCTTAAACCCTTTAGTTTTTTCTTTTCTTAAATAAATAAAAAGGCTGCACGATGTCAAATTAATGATTTGTTGTGTGCTTACATACACACCAGAAAATTGTTTGATAATACGTGATCCGGTATTTTTTTTGATAGGACGTGATCTGGTATCTGTTGTAACTTGTTTCAATTTGGTCAAGAATGGTAGACGCTGAGCGTTGATGTAATCCATACCTTTTTGCCATTTTTGTGTCTCCTTGATGAAGAGGCTTGAAGCACATCCACGACGATCGTGCAATAAAGGATGCACATCGCACTACTCTGTGTAAGTGCTCGTATGCCACCGTAGCTGATTGATGCAGTTGTACAGTTGTCCAAACTATTAGAGGAAGGCCAACAGGCTTGTACTACTTGAGATTGATTTACAGGAGGGATTACATATATATAGGGAATACAGAAAGCCCAAAGGGCCAAGCCACCTGGGAGGCTGCGCATACTGACTAGGGGACTAGGGGTAGTAGCACAAGTACCTAGGACTAATAAAAGACCAAAGCAATGATTAACACAAGTACCAAGGAGATATTCTAACACCCCGCAGATCGGAACGTCGGAGAACGAAACGAGCAGTGAAATTTGGCGAAAGTCCATAAAAATGCGAAGAGGGAAGCCCTTGGTGAAGAAGATATCGTGACTGCGCGACGTGGTTGGAACATGAAGAAGAACACGGACGGCTCCAATGGCGACCCGTTCGAGACGAAGTGGAGGTCGATTTCCACGTGCTTGGTTCACCGATCTTTCAACGAGGTTGGTGGAGAGGTAGACTAATACGACGTTGTCGCATGAAGCGAGGCAAAGCAGACTCAGAGAGGTGATGAAGTTCTGGAAAAGTCTGCCGTAACCGAGGAGGTTTCAGCCGACACCGTTGGCAACGGACAGTATTCCGCCGGCTATTTGGACCGAGAAAGCGGTGGGGTGGCGCTTGGGCGATCAGAAACAAGGCTGCCTCAAGAAAGACAACGTAGCTGAGGTGGAGCGGCGGTGTGTCGGGCGGCCCGGCCCAATCGGCGTCGGTGTACACGACTATTTGTGTTGGAGTAGATCTGGGAATAAACAAGCCATGGTGAGAGTGCCACGGAGGTAGCGAAGAATGCGCTTGGCGACTACTAGATGAACTTCCCGAGGATCATGCATGTGGAGGCAAACTTGTCAGATCGCGTGATGCAATGTCGGTCGAGTGAAGGTCGCATCAAGAGCTCCCACAAGGTCATGCAGTAGTCTGTAGGGTCGATAGCAGGAGGACCAAAGATCTGCGGCACTTTAGCACATGTGTCATCAGGGTAGAGCAAGGTTTGCAATCGCTCATGCCATGTCGGGCAAGAATGTCCAGAGTGTCTTTGTCGTTGAGAGAGAAAGAGAGCATCCCTGTGTCATTTGAAGCGCCATGCCGAGGAAGTGGTGCAGGGGACCGAGATCTTTCATGGCAAACTCCTTCTTGAGGGCATCAATCACACGGTTGAGGAGTCGCTTTCAGAGGAGGCGGTGAGGACAATATCGTCCACATACTGAGAAGCAAGTAAAGCGCCTCGGTGCCACGTCGATATATGAACAAAGATGTGTGCATCTTGGCCAGTGAACCCAAGTGATATGAAATGAAGCAAAGCCGGCGTTTGTGCCATCTTGTGGTACTGCTTTAAGCCGTATAGGGATTTGTTGAGCTTGCGGGGCGTGTCGTAAAGGGCAGGATTAGTAAAGCCGAGTGGGGTGAGAGCGATAAACTTTTTCGACAAAGTCCCATGGAGGAAGGCGTTCTTCACATCAAGTTGATGGATGGGCCAATCCGAGAGTGAGCCAAAGTGAGGGCGATCTGAATCAGAGCTGGCTTGCTTGACGGACTGAAAGTCTCATTGTAATCCACTCGGGCGTAGTGTGTGAACCCGAGCACCCAACCAAGCCTTGTATCCATCCAAGGTGCCATCTCGCATGAAACTTGTGTTTGAAGATCCATTTCCGGTGATTGACATTAGCCTTGGCGGCGAGGTACTAAATCCCAAGTATGGTTGTCCGGGAGAGCGGCAAATTCTTCTTCCATGGCCCGACGCCAATGAGGATTGGCAAAACATCCCGACAGGACATGCGGCAGAGGGGATGAGCCTCGGTGTGTAGAAGCAAAAGCGAGGTCAGCTGATACCAGACTTATGAAGGGTCGCCATGCCATGAGAGTTGGCGATGGCGGGATGGAGACAGCTCTCATTGGCGATGCAGGCCACTCTTGACATAGCGCGGTGGAGAGGGAACCATCTTTGGAGCGTCGAGGAGAGAGCCCCAGACCCGGGGGGACTCGGGTAAGCGTCTTTGGATGTAGGGAGCACGTCGATTGTAGACATGGACGACGGGTGGCTTTTCTTTGAAGGGTGGAGCCAGGCGCCTGCAGGCGCCATAGGCGCTGTCTGAAAGGGCTGATGGGCGCTTTGTCTGAGGCGCCGGTAGTCTTGTTAGCCTTTGTCTGGTGACAACGGGCGATGAAGAAGGGCAAAGTGGGGGCGCGAGACAGAGATGGCGTGGGGCGTGGTGAAGCCGGGTGGGGTGATCTCGACACGGTGTGCCCGATCTGGACACCGATGAGAGAGGGGCATGCAGTGGTGCAAGCGGCGGTATGGTGCCGATAGCTCGAGGGGAGACTGCAAGAGGAACAGGGGTGATGGAAAATCGTCATCGTTAGAAAATCCGATTCATGTGTAGGTGGCGAGGGCGGTGAAGGAGAAAAGGAAAGCGTTGTTTCGTTGAAAACAACGTGGCGAGAAATGATGATTTCGGTTGGTAGTGAGGTCGAGGCACTGCACCTTTGTGATCGTGGAGAGTAGCCAATGAAAGCGCATAAGGAAGAGTGCGGGGCAAGTTTGTGAGGGGCGATGTGAGACGAAGCACCAGTCGATCACCCGATCCGATGAGTTCGGTGGCGGGGGTGAGGGTGACGGTCTTTCAAGGCGTTGGCGAGGGACCCGAGGGTCCCAAAGGGACCATGCGGGGCGTCGGGTGCAAAGAAAGCGTCCAGCAGGAAGAGGCGCTGAGGGGCACCTGGT